CTCTAAGTCTCTGTTTTTTCTCATTCTGGACAGCGCCACCAACGAGAAAGTTAATTTAGAGGCGGAATAAGCATGGAGGAAGGTAAGCGTTATATGGGCACCAGTTCACTCACACACGGCATCGCCTTTGTTTTGGTGTGTGTGATGTGTAGCGTGTCTGATGAATATTTATATATACCATAGCATTAATTATTCATGACCTGACGGAACTGGTGCCCATATAACGCTTACCGTATATTTTTATTTGCTGCCCTCTATAGTACAATATCGTACTTCAGTTTTGGTTTTTTTTGGAACCAGCTTCCGAAAAACATAACTTCTTCCAACTTTCTTTGCAACTGTAAGTCATAGCTTAAGACCAATTTGTTTTCCGGTGGCTATTCACATACGTTGTACCTTTGATCTTTTTTTTGTATTGGCACTATATAAATTTGAGATATTATTTTTATGAACATTTTTCACATTAAATGTACAGAACATTAGTCTGGATCGAATTAAGTTTTCAAGCTAGACTATGACAATTCTTTAGTACATTATTTCAAATAACTTATAACAAGAAATACTTGTTGCAACATCTTCAACTGGTTGTATTTCCAAACTTAATAAATTAACTTATTCTTGATGACGACCATCTCATCTTCAATGCATTTCATTTATGGTACGACACACAAACGTCATAAAAAATAACCTACAGGTACAGGGGTTTGGTTTACGACTGGTGTAACAATAGCCACGAAGTTATTTGCATTGCGGTCACAGGATTAAAATAACAAAAAGGCATGCTATACAGTACTGTACATAGAAATGTGGAAAGTATAAAATTCATAAACCAGTGTAATACTGTATATAATTTGGTGTAGGCCATAGACTGTCTTTAGATTGTGTTCTTTACCATTATTGTTGTTATCAATATTCTTTTTTTTAATATTATTTTATTTTCTTTATTTGTATTCAGTTTTTTAAAATATATTTTATTAATTTTTTATTATTCTGCTGGACGAGTTATGAAACTCCATCATCGCCAATTTTTATGCTTCAACTTTAAGGCCTGTTTATACTTGCAACGATAACAATAAAAAGCTGAAAAGCAATTGTTCATATAGAAAATCAAAGAAATAAGTGAAGTTTTTACAGTAGGAAGATTCGACAATTTATCGTGTATACGATAACAAAATATTTTGACAAATCAATTCAAATGACGTCATAATCATGAAAAAAACGATAAAATCGTGATTACTATACTACTACTGTCGAATCGTCCTAATGTAAAAACTTCTTTTATTTCTTTCATTTTCTATGAACAGTTTTTTTTTTTTTTATAGATTTTTATCGTTATCGTTGCAAGTATAAACAGGCCTTAACGCTAACCCGAATGTAAGTTGTATATATTGTGAGCCATATTGATATTTGTATTTACTTTATTTTTCAGTTGGTATTCCGAGAATTGCTCTAAATTCATCAGTTGTAAAGGATACATTAAACATCCCCACGGGTGGCTACGCCATCATCAGATGGAAGGCAGAAAATCCGGGTTACTGGTTCTTCCATTGTCACAATGAATTCCACGCACTGGTGAGAACTAAACTAATTCCTGATTTACAATAAACTTCAAAGATATACTTACGCGTAAATCTATTAAAATTATTTTTTTAAAAAGAATTCAAATCGAACCGCTTACTAATTAGAGATGATATTACATAAGAATAATGCCGTTTTTAATCAAATATGGGAAGATTATATAGTAATAATATTCATAGGAATTTTCTCCTAGCAACTTTATGAATTGTCATAGTTTAAAGTCTGAATACCTAAAATGACTCTTGTGAACGTTAATGAACGCCGCAGCACACTCTTCAGAAAAGAGGAGCCACAGTCCGTATCCAGTGGTGTGCAAAAAATTAAATGGCCTAACGATAACTGGTTAAAATGTAGGCATTTAAAATTTGTAAAAATATTTATCATATATTAATCATATCCTATATTATCACTTTATGTCATTTCATATTCTTATGTTATTTTATGTTATGTTTGGACTCATATAATATATTAAATACAACTATACTAATTGCATGCTTAATATTGCACATGTTTAATAGAATTTAATTATATTTTGTTTTATTACATCAGTTGGGAATGACAATGGTCATCCAAGTTGGTGAAGATGACGAAATTCCACAACCACCGAAAAATTTCCCGTCATGCGGACCATGGTCACCTGATTAAGTTTTAAGTCATCATTTTAATATGATAGTTGTGTAAATGGCTGTGGATCATCACGTGATGATTATTCGAACGTTATCGCCTATAGACCAATCAAATCAGAATGTAGTTTGATGAATGAGTTATGATACATTTTATTGAACTACTTAATTATTTAAATCTAATAGGCCTATTAATAATACTAGTTTTCAATCGTCTTTTGTCTATAATTTTACTGTGATTTAAATTATTTGGATATATGCTTTAAATAGTAGGCCTATTATTAGGCTCAATAAGATATATCCAATAGTTTATTTATTTATTTAATGTTTAGTCTCATAGACAAAGATATGCCAACATCGAACTTAATCGCTTTAATAAGTGGCAATCCTTTCACAAGACAAATCACATAAACAAGATGCTCTACAAAGCCTTAAGTCTCATTATGCGGCTTAGGGACTAGAGTTAGTCGTGAGAAAAAAATCCTGTTGCCGTGACAGGAATTGAACCCGGGGCCCTGGGATTGGAAGGCAAGCATCTTCCACCAAGCTATTCATAATAGCAACAGCAGCAATAGCGATGATGATGATGATGATGATGTTGATGATGTTGTTGGTAATGATGATGATGATGATGATGATTATGTAATTAAGATAATGATTATGATGGTGGTGGTGGTGGTACACATGAATATGACGCTGACAATAGAAGACGATGATAGTGATAATGAGGATTATAGGGCGCGCTATTTTTGCACCCTCCCAAAAAAGCCCCTGCAGTCGTCATCCCTTTAATGGCGTAATGACTCTCAACCATGAGACTGGACCTTAATAAGGCACTTTTTTTGCAGAATGGGTCCCATATTGGCTGAGAGGGGTTTTCAATTAGCAAAACGTTTACAATTAAAACAAAAAAAAAAAAAACAACAAAAGGAAATTTAAAAAAAATTAAAATAAACGGACTATCATCAATGGCCCGAAAAAAACTACTCAATGCATCTGACCTCTTCGTTACGCCACTGTACACTTCTGGATACGTTATATCATCAGTTCAATTTAATTCAACGTAATATTTATTAACTTCCTTTTTGCAAAAAAAAAAAAAAAAAATAACTGACAATGATAAGGTAATTAATATAATAGTAATGATATGCATAAAAGGAAGGAGGCAAAGGCCCGAGAAGATAAGAAAAGAAATCTTGTGTAGGGACAGCCTGAGAAATTTAAAAAAAAAGAAAAAAAAAAAGAAAAACAGGAACAGGACAGGACAAAATATGACACAAATCAACAGAAAACAAGACACAATTAAAACAAATCAGAATTCATTAGACCGACTAACTACCAGTGGCGGCTCTAGGATATATTTTCTGGAGGATGGGGGCTGAGCTGTCCGACAGGGGGACTTGGGCTCGTAGGCCCGAGCTCGGGGAAGGGTTTGAGAGGGTGTCACTCCCAAATTAGATTTTTTTAAGAATAGCTTTTAATTTAAACTTTTAATGAAGTATTTTTTAAGCTGTTTATAAAAACATTTTTTATTTTATTTTTTTGGAATTGGCATTAACTAAATGCGATGGTAAAGAGTTCCAAAGTTTGGGACCTGGAAATCTATTATTATGCTGGAAGTAATTGGTTTTATGGGTTGGTATAGGAATAACACAACTATCCGTGTGCTGTAATTGTGAAGGGAGAAATTAGGTTTGAAGATGTTACAAAAGTAATCATGCATTGCACGACTACATCGAATGAAGAAGGAAGGCTTCGTGGAGGAAATTTGCTCCTACATGGGAAGACTCGTCCATGTAATGTATGTTATGACTCGCAGAATTCGGTATCTAATTCTGATGATTTATCACAGCTTTCGCCTTTGTAATTTAATTCAAAAATAATTATATTGATTTCCTTTGCAACGTGCACAGTAATAAGTGAGTGCATTAAGAATAAAAATGTACACAGATAAAATTAAGAATACAAAATTCAATGCCAGACTGTGAGTTTAACAAAATATTTTGTGCTGGGAAATGATTTAACAGATCATTTAATACGGCGGATACAAGGGGTGGGGTGGGCAGCCGAACCGGGGGCCAACCCAATTTTTTTTTTAATAAAAAAAAAAGAAATAGAGAAAAAAATGAAAACTAGGCCTATACAAAAATGTCATGGCTGAGAGTGCCATTTCCGGGCATCTAGAGGTGCCATTATCCTAGATTTTCTTACCTCAGCCCCAACCATGGTGGGGCTGAGTTATATAGGCCTACACCTTCGATATGTGAAAGTCTCCCTGGCCTCTTTTTCAAAACCCTGTGTCCGCCACTGTTCTACATAAGATCCAAATGCTATTCAGAGATTTAAAGCATACACTTGCATGCAGTTACAAATAGAATACCGTAAAACCTCAAATAGAAGCCGAATGGGCTTAAACTCCAGAAGAAG